GTGAAGGTCAGATGGTAGAAAGAGAATTGGATTAACGCCTAACAGAAGAAAAAAGTTTCACATTAGCTCTCTGCTTGTAACATTTTTCACTCAGTTCTTTATACCTAAAGCTTTTTCTTTAATGTTTGTTTCTATCAACATTTAAGCATGTGGTGATCAAAGATTACTCAAACATGTGAATAAATATTCTTTGAATTTGAACAGATAAAGAGAATGGTCCAAAGACCGTGAAAGATGTCAAGATAATTAGTGCTGGAAAAGTTCTGGATAGCAACAGAACATTGGGGGACTGTCAGAGCCCTATTTGTGATATTCCTGGTGGAGTTACAACAATGCATGTTGTTGTTCAACCCCATGTGTTGGAGGAAGGTATGATTATCATCTATAAACATTCCAAAGTTTATTGCCAAAATTCAATATCAAGTTCTTGAACACAAACAGCGGTATTGCCAATATGGCTCCATAGCTGTTTACTCTGTATTTCTCTTTTTCTGATGAGCAGAAAAGATAGCTGGAGATGAAACCAAGCAGAACAAATGTCTTTGTGTCATACTATAATCTGCAGCACCAGGAGCAGGGATGAGGGATGGCATCATTTTTTTGTTCATTTTTAGGTTTTTTTGGCTGTTGCTTCGCTGCCAACCGAACCTTGAGCTTCAAACTAAGTTCTCTATTCACTTGAATTTTGTACAGGCTGAGTGTTGAAGCTGGTATATACTATACATAATGAAGATGGTCCATTCCAGATTGATAAAGGTCCATGTCCTTGTTGCAGATCGACAGCACCTCATTCATGTAGTTAATGATTTTCCATCGATTTTGTTTGTTCTGTTCCTTTCCAATTAATTAGATTTCGTTATTGAGCAATTGAATCCCATGTATTCAAAATGCATTCACCACATCTGTGTTTAATATTTGGAACTTCTCATGTTTATCTATAAATCGTGTTTTATCATTTAAAATATGTCAAATTGTAAAATAAAAATAGTTGATGTATTGTAAATTTTAAATATTAAAAAAATTGTCCTTATTTAATATATTTTTTTCTAATCACTTAATATCCAAAAATTACATTGAGTCTTGATTAATTTGAAATTGTTCTTCAAAAACTTTTTTTTTTATTTATTTATAAAATTTGAGCTCGAGATTTAATTAAAAAAATATAATCTTTCTCACTTGAGCTAATAAATATTGATTATTAATAATTTGTTGATCCAAACGGAAGAAATTTAGTTTTTTTTAAACAAACTCTCGAGTTAAGTCTTGTGAATAAAAAATAGATGTTGAGAGAGTTTTTTCTATAGGATTTGACCTCATTTGATTTTAAATTAAACAACGCTTAATATAGTTTTTGGACAACAGGGTTAGTACCAAAAATAAAATAAAATAATAAATATTAATTTTTTTTATTTAAACAATTGTCATGAGATCAAATTAAATCGTTGCTCAGGGAGAGGTGAACCCTTACCATAACGACGAAAACCAATTTCCTAGGGCTAGGTTCAATAAATAAATGTTGATTACCTATTCAATAATTTTAGTTATGCATTTAGTGTAAGATATGGCCTGCATAGAAATAGACTAAAAATTTTGATTTCAATTTTCAAAATTTGAGAAGTGGTGCCTAAGCCGACGTCAGTAATTTCCTCCTTTTATGATGAAAATTTGCGTAAAATTAAAATCCACGGTGGAATCGATTTGCCACGTGTGTCGAAGGTCTAAAAACAGTCTTTTTCACCATCATATCTACATGGTGATGCCACGTGTATGAACACAGAGACGGAGGCGCACGGCGCACCCCTCGCATGGCTGCGTACAACAATTTCGCGATGTTTCAGGAAGCCTCTATTAATTAAGTCTCCGTTAAAGTCGAAATGTTCCCAAACCTTCTTCTCTCTTGATTACCCAAAAACGCCACCAGCCGACTCAGTCCGCAAGCAAAGCATCGCAGAATTCGAAATTTTGAATCCGGAGTTGCGGTTTTCCTGAGGCTACAATGACGTCCGCCACCGCGTCCGTCACTGGTGTCAATCTATGCGCTCCGAGGTCGGTATCCCACCGGAATCTTCTGTTCAATGCTCGGCCGCGGCTCTCCTTGAACTTCCCGCCGAAAGCTGGCTCTCTCAACACGTTTAAATCGCTTCGGTTGAATAGAAATGGAGGCTTTGAGAAATTGTCGAGGAGGTCGAGGACGCTTTTTGTTCGTTGTGAAGCTGCGAGCGGTAAAGTGAGTATCTGTGCATTTTTCTATTTAAGTGTGTGCGATGGTTATAGAGTCGGTGGCGCTTGGGAGATTTTAGCTTGTTATTGTATTCAATCTTGTTTAGGCGTTGGGGATAGCATTTGATTTACTGTCTGAATTCTGAAACTTACACGAAATCTCTTTTCATGGACTTTTTATCTTCTTCAAATTGATTTGGTTAATAGATAATGAAGAGTAAAGATTTTTTTTTTTTTAATCATCAGAAAGAGTAAGGAAATTGTTCCATTTCAAGTTCTTAAAACATTTATGGGTTTAAAGTCATGGAGATGGTTGCATTGGGCTTTGGTTTACAAGCACAAGAATATGGTTGGACGATGCTAAAGGTTATGCTAAATAGATTACTTCTTCGATTTCAAGAATCATAGTTGATTGCTGGTTCCAGTGCTAACTTATATACAATTTTCTAAATAAAAATGAAAAAAGTGGAAGTTGAGTGTTACCACTTGCAATGCATACATGATGCAGTGGGGAAAATGAAACTTTTTACCATTGGTTTTATATTCATTTGTCTATGAGTGACTTGCTAGTTGTTAGTAAATTCATTCAAACGTCTCAATCTCATGTTCCTAATGTGTAGTTTTAGCTCTAATGGGTTTGGGATGTTATGACAGATTACTCAACAGGATTTTACAGAAATGGCTTGGCAAGCAATTGTTTCTTCTCCCGATGTAGCGAAAGAGAACAAGCATCAAATAGTGGAGACTGAGCACTTGATGAAGGCGCTTTTGGAACAGAAGAATGGTCTTGCCCGTCGGATCTTTTCCAAAGTTGGAATTGACAATACACGACTTCTTGAGGCCACGGATAAGTACATTCAACGCCAACCAAAGGTAATTCCTACCCAACTTCATTCTCTAGATGTGTCTATAAATTTGTGTTACAAATTTATGATTCACTGAGTGAAGCCCGTTTTTTATCTCCTTCATATTTTAAAACTAGACATTGATTGACAACAACTTTTGCCTTCAATAATATCATTTGTAATATTACTTATACTAATCCAAGAAACAAGAATTAATCACATGTTATTCATGTCTTTTTAGATGATGAAAAGTAAGGTCAGGTTTAAATCTTTTGTGAGTAGCTCAGTATGTCCAGACTTCTATCTATTTCTGAATTAAAAGAAATAATCCATCAGTGGGCCAGCGTGAGCTATCCATAAGAAGACCTTCAGATGAAAAATGGACCTAGCGTGATAGCTTTCACCAACATTATGAACATACTTTTTTGGCTGCTTCCTGATTATATATTCTGTGGTTGCCCAATTATACTAGGTTTTGAGTGAATCAGCTGGATCAATGTTAGGACGTGATTTGGAATCTCTTTTGCAACGAGCTAGGGAATATAAGAAAGAATTTGGGGATTCTTTTGTTTCTGTTGAGCACTTGGTTCTTGCATTTGCTCAAGATCAGCGATTTGGGAAGCAATTGTTTAGGGACTTCCAGATATCTCAACAAGCATTGAAATCTGCAATAGAATCCATAAGGGGACGTCAATCTGTAATTGATCAAGGTGACAAATTCTTTCTTTATCTTGTGTTATAAAACCGTATGTTTCTATAATATCTGAGCTGTTTAGTTTGCATGTAGAAGTCAGAGCATATGCAAGTTATATTTCAGTTGCCTTCCCTTGGATGATTCATTTCTTTGTTTGTTGTGTTAATTCAAAATGCTGTTGGGTCTCGATTGTTCAAGTTGGTGTACACTTCAGCCTTTTAGAATTAGGATAGTGAACTCATTTATTTTTTTATTCCTTTCATTATTTCATTTTCATGTGAGATAGGGTGATCTTTGGGCTAGTTTTAGTTAGCTAAATAAAACCAGGCAGATTAGGTTAGGATAACACTTTGAATTCCTTTGCATGTGCTTTGTGGTGTTCCACCTCCATTAAAAATCTTTCCTTCTGTCTATGAACGCATTTGTAATTATGCAATTCTTTACTTCATAGTGAAAGTTTCACTTCCTTGCCTCAGTTTTGCTTATAGGGTTTTGGGAGCTTTGCATGGCATATTTTTTGTCTTGTGTTTGTAGTTGGGACGATAAATTATCAATCTGAAATTTTGTTACAGATCCCGAAGGGAAGTATGAAGCATTGGAAAAATATGGGAAAGACTTGACAGCAATGGCAAAAGCAGGAAAGCTCGACCCAGTGATAGGAAGAGATGATGAAATACGGAGATGCATCCAGATACTCTCCAGGAGAACAAAGAACAATCCTGTGCTAATTGGTGAACCAGGTGTCGGCAAAACTGCAATTTCTGAAGGGTAAGTATTTAACAGTTTGCTGATGAACAATTATGTGAATAGGGTTGAAAAGAAACAGCATATAAGCTTCCAAAAGTCTAGCTTCTTCTTTTATAATTTCATGGCATATTTCCAGTTTTTGATGCCTTGAACTTTTAGGTATCCGATTAGATATAAGCTTGAGCCTTGGTTTTAGCAGGCAATGGGTATTCCTTGTATGTTGTGTATAACATGATTTTGTAATTGAAATAGTGAGAACAGACACCAGAACTTGAGGTGTAGACAGGGAGGTTACATGCATATGGTATACCAGGTCTTAGGTTCAGAATTCAAGTTTAAAGTTACTGGCACCCTTTTAAATCATTGTTTAATGAATACAATCTAATTATGCCTATTTTAACAGGCTTGCTCAGAGAATTGTGCAAGGAGACGTTCCTCAAGCTTTGATGAACCGCAAGGTTTGTGCTTATATTGGAACTTGATATACCATTAGCATTTTCCTTCCAGGAAAAATTATTGTGAACATCATCCATTTTAATATTAACCTCCTATATCTCACTCTGTTGGTGATGAATTTGTGGATTTTGATCCAAACCATTTTTACATTGCAGCTTATATCCCTTGACATGGGAGCACTTATAGCTGGTGCAAAGTATCGGGGAGAATTTGAAGATAGACTGAAGGCTGTACTTAAGGAAGTAACTGAATCAGATGGCCAGACTATACTCTTCATTGATGAGATTCACACTGTCGTGGGGGCAGGTAATATGCTTATTGAGTTATTGGCTTCAAATGTTGGGTTGTCCTATGTATATAAAGATCATGCTGAAAAGTTTGGCGGACTTTTTGCTCTCAAAATTTTTTTGTGCTCAAGTGTGCCTTTATGTGTTTATACAGTTTTACGAATTCACAAGTTAATCAATGTTAACTGCAATGTTGTTTGTGTTGATCTCTGTTTCAGGTGCTACAAATGGTGCAATGGATGCAGGTAATCTTTTGAAGCCTATGCTTGGACGGGGAGAATTACGATGTATTGGTGCTACAACATTGGATGAATATCGTAAGTATATTGAGAAAGATCCTGCACTGGAGCGTCGTTTTCAGCAAGTTTACGTTGATCAACCATCGGTTGAAGACACTATTTCTATTCTTCGGGGACTCCGTGAAAGATATGAACTGCATCATGGCGTCCGCATTTCGGACAGTGCACTTGTGGAGGCTGCAATCCTCTCTGATCGTTACATTAGTGGTCGGTTTTTACCTGACAAAGGTAATACTTATATATATAAGACAATTGAATCCTGAGACTGTTGACTCTTTGTTGAGCTGTTATGTTGCAAAGTAGGCTATTCAAAATTTTATGGATATTTGCTGGCTGCTACAATAGTCTATTTTTTCCACCCTGCAAATCTTCTATTTAACAAATGTCAATCTAAATGTTACTTAATTAGACATCTCTTCTCTGAGGAGATAAATGTTGTAGTGGCAAGTCATTATGCTATTTATCTATGAGTTGAAAATTTTCTTGTTGGCATTCATGCAATTTGAGATTTATTAATACAAATGCCTTTAATTATACAAAAAAATTCATTGCATTTTATCAATTACCTGCAAACATTAAGTATGAAATCTAACATTGCTGCTATTCTTGTGAAGTAGTGTTTATTCAGAAATATTATAATTGGTAGAAACTAATGTGAGGAAAACCATCTGGATGCTAACCCGGGAAATAGCCAGCCAGGCAGGGGATTATTTTAAGATGCAAGCTGCACAATTTCTTAAATGAATCCCATGCTTTATGAAATTTGTTTCTTCATATCTGTAAACCATTACGGTAGCTAATGTATTTTTAAATTACAGCCATTGACCTAGTTGATGAAGCAGCTGCCAAACTGAAGATGGAAATCACTTCAAAACCCACTGCCCTTGATGAGATCAACCGTTCAGTGCTGAAGCTGGAGATGGAGAGATTGTCTCTCACTAATGATACGGACAGAGCTTCAAGAGACAGGTTGAACCGTCTTGAGGCTGAGTTGGCCATATTAAAAGAGAAACAGGCTGAGCTGACTGAGCAGTGGGAGCATGAGAAGACGGTCATGACACGTATTCAATCAATAAAGGAAGAGGTATACTAGTATTTTCTAACTAGTTTGAACTTTGAAGTAGTATACTTCTTAGAAGCCTTTTTTTTTTCTTGGTTGCATATATCTGGATATTTTATAATCAGCTAGTGTATTGACCACTTTCTTTTTCCCCCCTAAATGTAAATATATTGTCTAGTTATATGGTGGTTATGCCATTTTTCAACTTACCTTATTCAAGCAAAAGCAGTAATCCACTTACTATTCTATTTAATAGATTGACAGGGTTAACCTCGAGATCCAGCAGGCTGAGCGAGAGTATGATCTGAATCGTGCTGCAGAACTGAAGTATGGGAGTCTAAACACATTGCAGCGTCAACTTGCTAGCGCAGAAAAAGAGTTAGATGAGTATATGAAATCTGGAAAATCCATGCTAAGAGAAGAAGTTACTGGTGATGACATTGCTGAAATTGTTAGTAAATGGACTGGTATCCCAGTTTCCAAGCTTCAGCAATCAGAGAGGGAGAAGTTGTTACATCTTGAGGAAGAGCTACATAAGCGTGTTGTGGGTCAAGATCCTGCAGTTAGAGCTGTAGCTGAGGCTATCCAGCGGTCTCGAGCAGGTCTCTCTGATCCTCATCGCCCAATTGCTAGTTTTATGTTCATGGGTCCTACTGGTGTTGGAAAAACAGAGTTGGCAAAGGCCCTTGCATCCTACTTGTTCAACACAGAAGAAGCACTTGTACGAATTGATATGAGTGAGTATATGGAAAAACACACAGTTTCAAGACTGATAGGGGCACCACCTGGTTATGTGGGATATGAAGAAGGAGGGCAGTTGACGGAGACAGTTCGCAGGAGACCGTATGCAGTTATTCTGTTTGACGAAATAGAGAAAGCTCATGGTGATGTGTTCAACGTATTCCTTCAAATTTTGGATGATGGAAGAGTAACTGACTCACAGGGTCGCACTGTGAGTTTCACCAACACTGTCATTATTATGACTTCGAATGTAGGTTCACAGTACATTCTAAATGGAGATGATAATACACCAAAAGAGATAGCTTACGAAACTATTAGGCAACGAGTAATGGAAGCTGCAAGATCAATCTTTCGACCTGAGTTCATGAACCGGGTTGATGAGTACATAGTTTTCCAACCTTTGGACCGTGAGCAGATAAACAGTATTGTGAGATTGCAGGTATAGCTCCTTAACTGATTTCTCCATAAGTTGATTTACTTGCGTGTGTGCTACTATCATGTGTCATCTTCATTCATATCATATTGTTTGCCTTCATGTCACTAATAATTACTTTACTAATATGTACTTTAGATGCAATTTTCTGCACTATATCTGATGTCTATATGTTTTTTGCAGTTGGAGCGTGTGCGAAAGAGAATTGCAGATAGGAAGATGAAAATTCAGGTGACCAATGCTGCTGTGGAGCTTCTTGGAAGTCTTGGTTATGACCCGAACTATGGTGCTAGACCTGTCAAGAGAGTGATTCAACAGAATGTGGAAAATGAACTCGCAAAGGGCATCTTAAGAGGGGAGTTCAAGGATGAGGACACAGTGCTAATAGACACAGAGGTTACAGCGTTTTCTAATGGCCAACTTCCCCAGCAAAAGTTAGTCTTCAAGAGGATTGATAGTGATCAAGATACTCAAGCCACGGGCAACCAAGAAGCTGTTTCACAAACTCTCTGAGCAAATTTCTCTCAGCTCTATATCGATATAGGTTTTAAACAAGTTTTGTTTGGTAATACTTTGTTCATACACAGTCATCGGATTCTTACGAGTAAAGTGTAATGTTGAAGATTACTGCAAAATGAAAATAGGCAGGAACTGTTGGTTCCTGAAGGTTGGAATGCCTATAGACGGTAAAGCTATCACATTCTCTTGGCCGATCCTATACGGCTTTCATTTTTCCCTTTTTCTTCTTTTTTGGAACGGGGAGGGGATAGGTGTAACCAAGCTTGTATGTATAGTTTCAAAAGATCATCATAGCTTCAACATTCAATAACCATACATTTGGATTACGAAGGAATGGGACAGGACGTGGATTTTATACACATTCATATAACAAGTAATTCATTCACCACTGTAGGCATACATGCCTTTATAATTTGTTCACAGTGTGTATATGTGCTTTGCGTATCACATACAAGATAAGCATGACAAGCAAACACCACTTCATACAGAGGTTGGGTCGTTCCTCTTCGGTCATAACCACTAGCCACAGTCAGTTCCTTGGATGGAAAGAAAATAGTCTGTCCACTTTGAATTAACATCTCCACTAGTTTCGACGTTTCTGCAAGTTCTGATTTTGCCCTAGGTTCTGAAGCATCAATGCCCGGGTTTTGCCATCAGGTTTGAGACCATTTTCTCGCATTCTAGCATAGATTTTCTTTGCTGATTCAACCTTGCCTTTTAAACACATTCCCTGGATAGCAGCATTATAAAGAGATACATTCGGGCCAACCTGCTGGAAATTAAGAAAAAAATGTCAAATATCAATATTTAGGCAGTCAAGTAACCTGAAAATAGAACTTAGAGACACAGCAATTTCAATAATCCATTTCTCGACACAGCAATTTCAATAATCCATTTCTCGACACATCAATTACTCAGCAGAATTTGGAATTCATAATCAAATCCAATCAACAAGGTTTCGTAGCAAATCAATAATAAAAATCAGGATTTTGATAGGTGAAATTCACTAGCATTCTACGGAACAGAGTTCAAAACTCCAAATCCAGTCAACAATTCCTTCAAAGTAGATTGGTGATGAAAAGCAAAATTTTGTGAAACAGTGTAACTTGCCGGGAACAATAATAGTATTAAAATGAAGGGAAAGTGAACTTACATTTACAATTTCCTCTACTTCATCCCAAAGAGATCCCCATATGCAACTTCTTATTAGTGACAAATGTGTGAATATGTCAGGAGCACATTGCTGTTGGACCATGTGCTCATAAACTTGCAATGCTATTTTTGGTTTCCTGGCAACCTCACAAGTACCAATTACAAGATTGTAGGATGCTGCTGGCACAGACAACCCTGAAGCTTCCATTTGCCATAACAACTGTAGTGCTCTCTCCCACCAACCAAGCTTCTTGCATGACATTAGAGCAGTGTTGTACATATGCACGTTTAGTAATGTGCTCTGCTCTCTTATTCTCTCAAAGAGCTGAATAGCATCAGTGTGTTGATTTGCTGTGTACAAAGCACCAAGCAGTGCATTCCATGTGAAGCTATCTGGAGTATAATGCAAGGATTTCATAGTATCATAGATTTTAAAAGCTAGTTTGACATTTCCAGCTTTTCCAAGTGAATTGATTAATGTATTGCATGCAACTTGGCTTGGCTTTAACCCACCATTCAACATACTCTGAAAAATTTTTAATGCTAAATCCAACTTCCCTTCCTTTGTGCAGGCACTAATCATGGCGTGCATGGTGTCTTCCTGAGGTTTTAAACCATTTTGTACCATCTCATCATAAGCATCTACTGCCAATTCATTCTGATCACAACGGACAAAAATGCTAACTAATAGAGAATAAGTGACTTGTGTTCCCGTGTGGCCATTTTCCTTCATCTTTCTCCACAATCTCTCAGTTTCAACCCAATTGTTCATTTTTCCACAAATAGATATCACTGTATTATAAACAATCACATCAAAATCCTTCCTCTGCCTCGAATTCTCTTCCAATTCAGCAAACATATCAAGTGCTGAATCACAACCCCGAGAATTTGCAACTGATTTTAGTATTAAGCTATAAGTATGCCCTGTAGTAATCTCATTTGCCTTCATAAACTCAAAAGTCTGCAAGGCATCACAAACTAGCCCATTTCTTAAAAGGCAAGAGAGAAGTGAATTGCAGGAATGTACATTAGGTCGAAGACCTGTCAACTCCATTGACCTACACAATTCTAATGCACTTCTTACCTTATTAGACCTGCTAAGCATCAAAATTCTCCTTGATAGTACCTCTTCATCCCTTTCCTCCAAAAAGTATACTCTGATATCATTCACAATGCTCTTCCCATTTGAACTAGTTGAAGGCAGATTGGGGTCAAAATCCATACTTGGATCAATGACCAACTCTCCCCCTAAAGAGTCCAATCCATATGCTTCTTCTTCTCTATGAGTCGTATCTTTTTCCTCATCTTCACAAGCCACGCCAGATTCAATACTAGCTATCATCTTTGGTACATAAACTGAATTCCCTACTCTAACAGACCCCAGCAGCAATTTCATATGTGACACCTTCATAACATGAGCAAACCAAAAACATCCATCAACAGGCAAGGAAACCATATATACTCCACGCGGTCCACCCGCCCCTCTTCTATAAGTTCTCATAGCAGACCCATAACGAGAACACGGACAGCATACCCCATTTCTACCAATACTCTGGCCACATAACTGATCATAGAACCTAAACCCATTTGATGTTTTCGAAACTGAAACTGGACACCCCAATATTTCTCCCATAATTAAACGAAGAACTGGATATATCAGTCAATTCAAGCCGCTTGAGGATGTAAGTAACTTACAGAGACAACCATTCCTTTAACACCAAAAGCTAAGTATGCAGCAAACTCTGCGTTTCTCTTCAAAAAGCATGATACTTTCTCAGACCAAACATGAGACTTTTGTTTCATGTAAGGTAAGAAGAAAACTTGAAATGAAATGAAATGAAGTTACCTGAAAAGCGTATGTGAATCCAGAGGTACCACCGAGGAGTGAATGGAGAGGGGGGCGAGTGGAAGGAAAAGTGAAGGGGCAGTTGATATGGTAGGCGATGGCATTTGATATGGTAGGCGATGGCATTCAGAAACGACGACGTTTTGAGCTTAAAACTTTGTCCTCCGCCTATTTGTCCTCACTCTAACTCACAATTTTCCTGTCCCACAATTCAGTAGGAGAGAAATCTTGAATAGAGTTCTGGGAATTCACTTTCATAGGATTTAAGAAATGGGTAAGTTGATACATTTCTTGTGCTTTTGATTTTTGTTTTTCTTTGTCAAAACTTGTATGGGTATTGTAAAAAATCGTTCTTTCTAAGCAAAGATGTTGATTTTGTGTTCAAATTTCTAAATTCCTGTCATATTGATTTTTTCCTGTTCTTTTTCCTGGTTGAAATGTGATGAGACAGAAGAAGGGAAGGCGGAAGTAGAATCAAAAGAAGGGAATTCTGGAGAAGTCAAGAAGGGAGTGGCATCCATAGCACTCTTACCATCTGGGTCTCTCTCAGGCCACTTCATTCAGCTTCCTCAGTCTATCTGCTATGGCCTTCATGGCACTGGTATTTCTTGCATTTTCTCCATTTTATGAAAACTCCAGGAAACTTTTATTTTTATTGTCATCCAGTATATAGGCTTGCTAGGCTCTTTATGTTAAAATGATTTTAAATTTTTTTAAGCTTATTATTCTTTTACTAAGAAATGAGTTTCCTTGAATTAACATGTTTCAAATTATAATAAAGCTACTGCTGAAATTATTTTTGAAAGGTTTTAACGTTGGAGGTACAATTTCATGTGCACCTCCTATTTTTTCTTGTTCCTTTTTTCTCTATCTTGTGGTAAAGAGTTGATTTGTGAGCGCGAGTGCAGCAGGGGTGAGGACTACCGCTTAATCAAGCTCACTATCACAGACTTCAATGTATGCACCATTGGTTGTAATACTTTCACTACTGAGAATATCTCTTTCCCTTTGATTTAATTTGGCTCTAACTAGTTTTATTATATGGCAGAGTAAGAAAGAGCAAACTGTTGTAGTGGAGTGTAAAGGGCATGATGCAGCTCGGTTCCATACTATCGATCATGCTCATGGGTAAGCCTTCTTGGAAGGACTTAGCTACCAAAAACACACTATGTAGTATGTGAATATATTGTTGTCAGTTTACCTCTGACTTGGAGCACTGCTTTTTACCTTATAGTTTTGTATTTTAACTTCTATTAATAGATTATGTGTGTTAACCAACTGTTGAGTTAATGATTGGATATGTATAACAAGCTCTATCTCTTGCTAAAATTCACTTGTATTGTAAACAGTTGGGAGAAGGATATTGTAGGGTTGGTTGAACAAAAGCAAGAAAAGAAGAAGATTTTGATTTCTTTTGAGTGTGAGACACTGAAAGCTGACAATGCAGCAGAAGACCACATCAGACGCTTCATGCCTAAACTATCTGGGTTAGATGCTGTTGGTATGTAATCCTACTTTTTCAATAACTAAGTCTGTGAAAGCTTTCCCAAATAATGATTGTCAACTGTGTGGCTCTTTGCAATTTGAACGTGGTTAGGAACTCAAGTACAATTTTGGCCATATACATTGCCTAAAAAAGAATAAGACCGGTGACAATTCCTTTTGGCTCATCTATATTTTAATCATGGAGAAAAGCCTACAATGCTTATGATAGATAAGAAATTCAGTTTAGAAAATCTGTTGGATCTTGACTATTATCCTATCTATGTTTTCCAAGGAAAGAGTTATCTAAGTTTGTTTATGTTATTTCTTGTGTGGAGAAAATAATCTAAGACCAGTTTTTGAATGTGGTTAAGAACTAAAGTAATTAGTTTTGGTTAATATGTTGACCTAAAAGAATAAGATATATTACAATTCCATTAATTTGACTGGAAATATGAATATTGTTGTTTCACTAGTGTTTGTCTTAGATTCATCTGCCAAGCTTATCTCTGATTGCATTCAAAGGTGCCTTTTTGGGACAAGAATGGAATTGTCTTCTTAGAGTGCAAAAAATCTGTTGGATCTTGAACATTATTCTAGTAATGTTCGTTTTAATTTATCATCTTTCTAAAAATAGATTTAAGTGTATCTGAGAGTCTGTTGTTTCTTGAGGGAGAAAATAATGTGTATAAAATTGTAATTTTTGCATTATTTTCTATTTCTTTATCTGATCGAAGTGGCACATACTTAAGCACTCCAACAGGGACTTGTTATGAAATATGCTTTACCATGTGCTGGCTTATTACTCAGGGTCATTATATAGATTCCTAATTGTCTATTTTTGAGCACACATGTTCTATTGCTTCTTAGCACTGTTGCAGTACTTTTGGCATTCCTAACGCATCTTATCTGAACCTTGATTTGGACTACTAGGATTTTGTGCTTGATCTTGTGTTGTGCATTTGTCCCCCAGCGCTAACTTTTTTATGGGTATATCTCTGATTTTTGACGAGCCAAAGAAAAGTTTTCCTATAATGGCAGCATCTTCAAAATATCAGCTGCCTTATTGTTATTCTGTCTCTAGATCACATCTATCTGCTTCAGTTGCCCTATTAATTAACCTCACCGGAATTTGGGTTGGCATCCTTGCAGTTAACATTGGACCCATGAGCATCTCAGGTCTGGACTTTCAAGCAGAAGAATCAGGGTCTGGGCAGAAAATATGAAGTGATGGATGTCTAAGGCAGCATGTTTTGTTACAATCTCTTTTTGTATTTCATTGTGCCAGTCCCTATGGAAATGACTTATTCTGGCAAGGTGACTGTCCCTTTCGAAAGAGTATTTTTGCATCCTGTCCTCATTCAGCTTTTTCAGCGTCTTGTGCAGCAATTTCAACTCTTTTTAATCTTCTTTTCTCCTTTGAATTTTATCAAGATACACTAGCACATGATTTGGAGATATCATCGCTACAAGTGCACACGCATCTTGGAAACGCAGGTCAAATTCACCACTTGATTCAGAGATTTGTCTAGTTTATCAGCGTTAAGGACTAAAAACAAATCAGATATTTCAGAATGAAATTGATTGAAGAGCAACGACAAGGACAAAGATTAAGGCTATAAACAGAAGCTCCCTCGCTTTATGTATAAATGAACAGCAGAATAGAAAATGGAACTGCAATAACTTCTTCCCTCTTGATACCGAGAACACTAATTACTGCAATGTACGGTCTGACCTGAAGCATGAGCATGAGGGTTCACATGGGACAGCCTTCAAAACTCAATCGTAATTTGTTGAAAGAAGCCATATAAACTATAGAAAGTGACGATTCAACTCAAACAACAAATTTGTATGAACCATTTAAGACAGCATTGTCAGATACATTATATGACTCATTCATAAATGTACAAGATATTACACGTTCACAGTAACAACCGTCAAACAATGGATAATTGATAAAGAAATCGTTAGCAGAAGCTTCTAACCCTCCAAGAAAGATTGATACAGGAATAAGTGAAGAACATTGGCGAGTTGAGATCAAGATGGCCAATTCCATGTCTTAGTGAAATAAAGACAGATGGTACTTTCATCTTCCACCCTGAGACCAATCTACTGAGAAACAAACTGCCCTAGAAATGGATTTGTTAAGTCAGATATTGCCAAGTTTTAATCAGAAATAATATAAACTTAACTATCCTACAGAACCATTATAGGCAACAATCTACCGTCAATTAATCAGTTCTGCCATTTATTATAGTCCAAAAGCATATTCACGTAATATAAATTTACAGTTGCCATATGGAACAGAGGGTTGACTTTGTATAAGCAAAAATCTGGCATTTGTTTCTTTTCTATGTGCTAGATGTAATACAAGAAGTTAAAATAAAGCTACTTGGCAAGGTAAGCCAAATGCATCACAATTAGCTGAAACAATCTTTGGTATCATGGCGACGTTTGCCAATAAAGAGGTGACTTTTTTATAATGGTATATGATGTTGCTGATTCAAAATGACTCAATGAGATAAAGCTTATCCTTAAGTGCTGAATTTAGACAAATGACAACAACTCAACTAGATTTCAAAAAGATCAAAAGCTGGCAGTTTGTAACTAGAAATAATAGAACATGGAACACATGGAAACAAACAGAAGATATCCATTGTCCAATCCTATTATTTCCAAATTTTTCTGTGCTGAATAAAATGTTTCACTCAATTATCAATCCTTTGGTTATGTTTCCTAGGAAAGATTTGCTAAAAAGAACAATGCAATAACCTAAAATGCTTAAAAAATTTACATGATGATACTGCCTTCTTAAATTACCTGGTGTTTCTAACTATCCCTCTGATTCAGATGCTGCCTCTTCAGAATCAGACAAGGGTAAGAGGGTACAGATCCCAAGCATATGTCCATTAAGGCACACATGGTACTCAATGCAATCCTCATAAGCACCCAACCGGCAGCTGGCACTCTGTGGTATCATTTTTGCTTGCAGCATGCTCCACAACTTTGCTTTACAATAAGGACATACCTCTGATGGATGAAACTGGGCATTCCTTTTAATTAGCATCTTCCTAACCTTTGACATTGCAAATGACTTGAAAACTCCTCGGAAGAATCCCACATCACCTTCCTCACCTTGGTCAAGATGTTCACAAGGGTCAGACACATATAAAACATCTGTTCTGCATTGTGGCAAAAGGAAGCTCTTTCCTGAAGTCCTGGAGAATCTAGTCCTGTAAACAAAATGACCAGGAATGTGAATGCTATTGAACAAGCCATCCTTGCTACATCCTGAACAATAAATAAGCAGCTTTCCAAGTGCCCTCCAGTTCCCATCAACACTGTGGCTCCCACCAGATTGCAGATCAAGCATCATTTTTGGGGCCCTTGTACGGCAGAATTCTTTCCATAGAACTCGTTTGGCAAGATCATCAAACCATTTGCAGACACAGGATAAAGCAGCAATCAACTTGGGGTTCCACTTCAGATGTTGGAACACAAGAAAAATCACATCTTCACTTAGATGCCCTTTTGTGCATTGACAACTAGCAGAGTGTATGCAACGATACTGCTTTGTTAGAATCATTGTCTCCCCTGCCAAAAAGTAAAAGAAACAATGAAACGATATACTGGCTGTTCAAGCCAACAAAACGTTAAGTCAGTCAAATTTTATAGCAGCTAAAATACCAAATTTGCTAATCACATGCAAAAGCTTAGATCCAAAGTACCCATCAACTGAAACCCAAAAACACTTCCAAAGCAACGCTTAATCTCCAAAGAAAACTCACTTTACTTATTCACTAAACTCTACAGAATCTAGATTAAAATTCCAGAGAAGAACCTAATCCATATCCCATCACCAAGATCAATCAAAAGCAAGTGAACTGATACTATACTAGCTTGTAATCAACAAGAAATCAAAAACCAATTCCTCACCTGAGCTTGGAAAAGCCTCCCCTCACATAGACTCAATACCCTTAAAGAAATACCCAACTCTGTGAAGAACAGAACAAGCACAAGTTAGGGTTCTTGCAGATGCTGACACACCCAAAAAAATCAAAAGCAAAAAATACATAAATTAGAAACCTCAAGCACCATAGAATCAAGTAATGGGTATTTGAAAAAGAGTATCTTTTTTCTTCATAAAAAAATGGGCGGCGGAGCTCCAGAGAGAGAGAAAATGCATAGATGGGAAAGATGAGCTTCGCGTTCCATGAAATACAAGCAAGAAAAATATTAAACATTTCCAGAAAAGAGGAAACGGACATTGGGGTTTTTCTGTTAGGGGAAGGACGAATGGAATTCGACCACGTGGATAGATGGCAATGGAAAAAGGTGAGGTGGCGCTTACCGGACTGCTTGGTGGGGCCAGTGAGACTGAGTTGGCCTTCTATGATTGGAGGTGACTTTGGGGGAAATGACAAGCAGCTTAGTGAGACTGGCCCACTGTTTTACGACTGATTTTGTGTCGGGACCTGCGAAAGTGAAATGCAGTGGCTACAAAATGATCGTAAAACGCCACGTTTGCTTACGTGGTAAATATTTTTTAAAAAAATTTTTTAGAAAAATTTTTTTATTATTATTTTTATATAACTTAAATACCATTTAAATTATTAATTAATTAATTTATTTAAAATTTATAATATTTAATGTATTTATTTTATTTAATATATATTATATAAAAATAATAAAAAAATTTATTCTTAATATTTTTTGGATTGACCGTTCTCATTTTGCTTACGTGGCCTCTTGTCATCGGATAATGCACATTTTCCCATTGTTTTCCCATCCCCAATTGATCATCTCCGTTCAATTTTTTACATTTTTTTTATTAATAACAAACTTTTAAAACAATCACATTATATTAAATAAATACATATATTAATTCATACAACTTACAACTTGAAGAGATTTAAATAAATTAATGGATATCGAGTCATGCATGATATAAGTTATAAAAAGGAAAATAATATATAAGTTATAAGATGTAAAATAATATAATTATAATATTATATGATATTATAAATTTATAATATATTGTTATATAATTATTTTTTTACTTAATAATTCATTAGTAATATCATATATATTTTCTTATTTAATAACATATTACAAGTTATAATAAATTATAAAATGTATTTGTTTTAACTTGTTATAAATAGTTATCAGTTATTGACTTTAATTACATAAATTATATATTTTAAATTATAAATATTCACTATTGGTAATCGTTAGATATCAACTACTACTTTTGAAAAACTAATTAAAATGACATAATAAATTTACATCTCATGTAATATTATAATTATAGTATTATTGTTATTAAAATTAGGCCATATTAAGTTATGTTTAAATTTTATTGTCAACAAAATTCAAGTTACTTTTCAACATGTTTCTCTTTTTTTCTTTTTTCTTTTTTTATTGATAAGCAACATGTTTCTTCTTTCTTCATAATCAAAACAATCTTTTGCATTGGAAACGGCTGATTTGCAGGATTAGAGCAATCAATCTCGAGAATGGGGGTACAAAGCCAGACAAACTGCGACTTTCATTGAGGTAAATCCACAGCTTCAAAATGCATGTAGAATGTGGCTGCACTGAAGGCAAGTCAACTTTGCTTCAAAAGCATTACCAGGGAGGGACTTGATTTGCCATTCCATCTGCCTGAAGGAATAAGGTGGTTATACTAACTTAATAAGAGGTGATGGTGGGCTTAAAACATATGCAAATGCAATGTCACTGTATTCTGATTTTTCTGTGTAATGCTCTCAGTTCAGGCTTCATACGATGCATCATTGAGCCAGACTTGCTACAGATTGTATTGTATATCTCTATATCTCACCTTTATTCTGTCTTTGTCTTGAAACTATTCGGACATTCTTATTGAAGAGTCGAGGAAAATGACTTTCGGTAAGGGGTTCATCTGATGATATTGCACAAATTTCTTCAACAAAAGATGTGAAGTAGAAAATTGGTGTCAGCATCTGGTAACTTATTTTGAAGTTCATTTTGGATTTTTGAATCAATGTCCAAAAAAAAAAAAAAAAACCAACAAGAAAGAACCACAGTCGATAAAACCAAACATTCACATTATGAAGTTTTCCTTTTTCTGCTCAAAAAGTACTTAACAGTCATAACTCATAAGTATAATGTTTTATTCACATGAAAAGAAATTGATCATGCTAGTGTGTGAAGCTCATAAAGAGAAAGACGCATACCCTCCTTAAAACTGTGTGAGAAGCTCGTTAAAATCAGTGCACATGCAATCAAACATTCAACTCTACATCCAGGTTCTCTAAAAGTCATATTGGTGTAATCTAAAATCCATTTCCAAAGCTCCATAAGCTTGGCATCACCTCTCTCAAGCTTAGGTTTTTTTCCTACCATTCTATGACAAACCAATTGTTATATAGAAGTTCTTTTCTAACTCAAGCAGAAGTCTTTTGCAGCAGGTTTTTTCTCCTGGAGGGAAATCACTGTTTCAAAAGCTCCAACCAATGCCTTGACCTTGCTTTTTCGAGTTTCAACAAGTTTACTGGCTGTTTCTTCGATGACAAAATTAAATAAACCTTGGGCGTCTTTCTTCCCCTGCACATCTTGGACTCGATGCTTCAAAACAACTTTTTCTTCACCAGGCTTCCTGTTGGTTGCCTCTCCATCAACTCCTCTCATCTTAAAGCTTCTTTGGCCTACCGCCTTAGGACTTTGGTGCTCATCCAGCACTCTCCCTTGCCTAAACTTCAGTCTCCTTGGACTATTGAGTCCAGTCTGAATGTCAACCACTTTTCCTCTCCTAAAATGTAATTTGACAGGTTTAGAATCTTTGTTAGCAGAGCAAACCATCCCACCCATCATGAGCCTCCTTCCTTTTTCTCCATCTAAGTTTTCATTTTTTTGATGGTCACCAACCAAGGTTTCTGTTTCATTGTATTCAGAGGAGCCGTCATTCTCTTCTTCAGACTCTGTCCACTCATATCCCTCTTGATTACCTCCATCATGAGATGATGATGAACATGGAAAGGCTGGGAGGGATGATAACTTGGGAGACGGAGAAAGTGGAGATGATTCAATGACACAACTTTCATTATTATCAGATTCAAAGACTTGATTCTCCATCTCCATCTTGATTACATACAAGGTCTTTTCCTGGTGCAAATCATTGTGGCTTTCCATAAGTTCATTGTGAGGTTGCTCAGGCTCAGCTTTTTTGACCTTGTTGCGTTTCTTCAAAGAAGACATGTCTTTCAAGCTCCTACTTTGCTTTGCAGCTAGGCTTGAATTTCTACTGATAGATATTGGGGACAATGAAGCTCTTGGTGAAGCTAGAGAATTCTTCACTGCTACTCTGGAGGTCACCGTCCTTGTATTTGACTTCACATTACTGATTCCACTAAGTCTTCTGACATATGAACCACCTGAATGGGAAGGAGAAGATGGCATCTTCTCTGCCAGAGATTTCAGCTTCCAAGAAGTAGCATGCTTCAGGGACCCACTTGTTCCTTTGGCTTTGGATGAAGCTTCCTTTAAAGAGACCATTACATTTTCCGAAGATTGTGACTCTACCTGCCTTTTGAATCTTAGGGGATCAGATAAACAAGATTTTGAATTGGATGAAGGTCCAAGGTTTACCACTGATGTCTTCTTGTCAGTTGAAGCTCCATGTTTTTGGGGTTTTCTGCTGCCAGGATATTTTGGGGATACTTGCGTCTTGACACTGTCAGAGGAATCAGGAGTATGGCTTCTGGAATTGGGAGAAGGTTTCACCTGTGGGAGGCAGTCGAAGCTCTTAGCTGAATTTTGCTCACCAGATGCCTTTTTCATAGTTCTTTTAGAAATGGGATGTCTAGACTTCTCTTCAAATTCATGTTTCTTCCCATACTTGCACAGATCATGACAGGAACCTGTAGAAGCCCTTAAATAACGGGGTAAAATTTTCTCTCTATTTTTTGAAGAACCTGCATTTCCTATGGAGTTTCTTCTTGAATTGTCTCCATCGAGTGGACTATCTTCTGGCATCAGTAGTGAACTAATATTCTCCTCAGCCATCAAATAAGTAGGAGATTAAGTGAATGGAAACTGGATTGGCAACCCTGAAAAGCGAACATACCTATCTAAGTAATGAAGTTGGCTAGATTAAATGCGCAAAAAAACTTGAAATACCAAGATAGCTATATCATTTAGGGATTAAAATTTACCTAGTTATTTTCTGATATTACTTTGAACTAGAACTTAGCCATAGAAATCCCACAAACTCTTCTACCTGGAAGCAAAGTTAACGACAGAGATACATGAAAAGATGACTTAGAATCTTAATAAAAAAATTAAAACTTTAAAACTCTGATTATAACTATATTACCAAATGAATCATTATCATAAGACAAATAAACAACTCTATTTCGGACAAGACCAAGAAGAAAATATGTCCCAAATAACACTGGAACCGCTAAATCTATCAATGAAGCTAAACAAAGAGAGAAAAAAGAGGCATCAACGACCTTCAGTCATTCAATCAAACAGTAGATAATTCTATGATACCAACCATTTTAGAAAAAGAAAATAAAAGTTAAAAAAACAGCAAACAAGTAGTCCTAGCAACGTAGCAATAAAATCAACTCTGAATCTATAATTTAACAGAGAACTTGATAAGAAGAGCACCAAGCAAAAAGAAACATAGAAAATGAACACAACTCAAGCTCAAAATAAGTCCTCTCACACCCAAACACTTCTGGCAAACATCCCATGTATGGTCCTAAACAAAGCCAAAGCCAACTCAAATGAATCTTCAAATAAACAAACAAGCGTGGAAAATAAGCAAAAAACACCATTATTCATGGAAGAGGGAAAGCAGAAAGCTTACCGATACCACAAAACAGAAGAAGACAGAGAAGGATCATCAAAACCCATCTGCAAAGACTCAGTTTTGGAGCAGACCCATTACCTCAAACAAGCCACCAACCAAAACCCACCAAGGATTTCCCTCAAAAAACCGGATTTTGATAGTCCCAATCTCCAAAACCAGAAGAACTGATAGAAAAAAAAAAGGGGGGGGTGCGGGGTGCGCACAAGATAGGAAGCTAACTATATTGTGGATGAGTTTCCAAGCCTGCTACACCTGAAAGCGAAGGAAGAGGAAACAGATACGTGAATTTGGCTTTGCTTGAGTACTTAAAGGGCTAAGTGCAGTTTCTTTTCCTCCTTTTGCTAGAGAACGTGCAAGTAACTGTTTGTTTTTGTAGTTTTTCAGGAACTGGTGGGCATTTCCTCTGCTTTCCGTGTCTGTTGCAGATTTTTTTGCTTCTGTTTTTCTTTGTTTTTGTTAGATTAGAAAGAGAAAACAAGAGAAACGCTGCTACCCCACAGAAATCCAAGGAAAGAAAATTTGTAATTGTAAGATATTTTATATGTGTATGTATATTTTATAGAATTTATAAGGGATTGAATCATTATTACTGAGATTTTTTTTGTGATTTTTTTATTGACAATGACAACCTCAATGCGTTTAATATTTTGTGATTAATGAGTTTTTTTATACTAATCCCGAATATTCGAATGATATATTAAATTTTAATTAATTTAAAATTATATTATATTAAATTTCATAAAGAAAAAATTGTTATAATGTTTATTTTTTTATTTATAATATTTTTTTATTTATAATATTTTTTTATTTATAAAATTTAAATTTAAAATTTTATTTTAAAAAAATTAAACTTTTTTATTCAAATCAATAAATAATTAATCGTGCTTAATGAGTTATTTAATTTTATGATAAGTAAAAATTACATAAATATATATTTCTTTGGCATTTTTCTTTAAAATGTGGACTTTCTTTGGGAAACATTTTGAAATTTGATATGATGGAGCCTCCTCTTAATTAAAACATGAGGGGAAAATAATCTAGTTTTTATGAAACTAGGAAAGGAACTTTTTTTATGCTAAGGTTGTCATTATTTAAAGTAGTTTTGACAATGAAAAGGAAATCCGATTTTTTTTTTTTTTTTGTCGGGTGCATCTGAACTTCATGATCCTGTTGGGATGAATTTGGATTATCTTTTAATTTTTCCTGAATTTAGATTATTATTATTTCCATTTTTAAAAATATGAAAAGTTGTGTTGCTTCTTCTAAGGGAAACTTTGAGGGGAAAAGGAGTACCAAATTGTTTGAATATTGAATTGCCTTTTTCTAATTTAAAGTTTAAGGGGGAAGAAAGGTTTCCCATAAAAAAAAAA